CTGCTTCATGTTGAAACTCCCTCTTCTCCAGGAGCAGATCAGGTAGAAGGACCACCTCCCAGCCTCTCTCTGTGCCCTCCTGGAGAGGGGGGTGGTGTTCCACCTCCCTTGGACCGAGAAGAAAGGCAGCAGGAGGGGTTTGTTCAGCTGTGGGCACCAGTCAACAGGATGGCAGCTGCTGTGCTTCTTGGTGTGCTTGTCCTGCAGGGATCTGGAGTGGAAGGTCACTGGTGGGCCTGGGGTAATTCACACCTGCTCCCAGTGGGATCAGGGTCAGTTATACAGTTAGCTGCTCTGACCTCCTGCCCAGCAGAGTCTCAGGCTGATCAGGAGCTAAACCCAGTAGTTTTCCCATCTTTTTTCAGCTCAGGGGACAAGAGACCTGTGCTGGGCCAGTGTCCAACTGACAGCCCAGGACAGGTGGACAGCTCTCAGGACAGACACTCGCAGCCACAAAGTAAAGAAACGGGACTTTTTATTCACAGTTTGAGATGAAGCATTCCAGAAACCACAAGACAAACCTCTAGTTCTTCTCCCAACTGTAGCTAGACGAGCAGTCGGCTTCCCCAGGCCTCTGTGAAGACAAGTCAGACTCCCAGCTCCCTGGCTCAGCAGTCAGACCTCCTCCCCCGACAGCTCAGCTCTGCAGCTCTTCCCTCCTGCTCTGCTCAGCACAACTGCTCTCTGTCCCCAGCAGCACCAGACTGAAGGCCTCCCCTCCTGCCTTTTAACTGTCTCCCCACCAATCGTCTTCCACCAATTAGGCAGGTGATTATAGGCTGCAGGTTGTTCTCCTGGGCCTCGTTGGGGATAATCCCATATAAAAACCAGACTGTTAAACGAGGGCTGGAGCTTGTTTTGGGTCTCTGGATTAATCTTGCTGGATGTCCTACAGGCTCCTCTGTGTTGGGGCTCAGTTGTTCCTAAAAAATCAATAAAAATAAAAGTGTAATTATGTGAATATTTGTGCAAATTAAATGAAAACCAAGCATCTTGTTTTCTACAGGTTTTGATCCCACAGCCTCTGTGTCAGAAGCCCAGAGCTCTTCCACTGAGCCACAGTGTCTCTGTGAGTCTGGGGCTCCTGTGTGCTCTTGGCCTTCCCAGCTCAGGGTT